AACAACAACAACAACAACAAATGCATTTCAAATTTAGAAAAAGTTTGTATGAATCTGTTACAGAAATGTGTGGAAGTTCCTCTCTGTCCTTAGAAGTAACCACTACATATGGTTTATGTGTCTGTGCTTTTTTATTGTATAAAATTGCAAGTTTTTTACAAATAGAATATGTTGCAGAACTGTATACTCATATACGACTGAGGGTTTTGACAGTGTTATAGTTTTAGTTCTTTATTATAAAGGTTGGCTGTAATGTCTTCCCCAGGGCTTTTCTAAAATCCTACTCTTAGTCTCTGAACTGTCTGGACTCTAGAATATACTAGGAGGAGCGAGGAATGAACCCACAGACTTTGGCTTCTAGCGGCCTAACAGAGGCTAAGAGTCTAAATCCACTGGTACTCATGCCCCAGCTAGCCTGTGGGCTCCATCCTGCTTCCATTAGTAACAGTGGCTCAGTGGCTCAGTGGCTCAGTGGCTCAGTGTCCACCACCAGAGTGCTTCTCCACCCAGAGAGAATTAGCACCTCTGGGACTGGAGGGAGCGGCTGTGGTTAGTTTGAAACAGGCCCCCAGATGGTCCGGAAGCATTCCTCCCTCTCTGGTCACTTATCCTTTTTATGGTCTTCAGCATTGTCATGGGCCTGTTCCTCTGAGCATAGTGCAGGCTTGGGACATTTCCCATAGAGTGCTTCAGATCTAAAACCCGAGACTGTTCCTTGTCACTGACTCTTCACACCTAACGGCAGCTAGGGACGTCAGGGTTTCGTGTTGCAGCAGCTCTTTGATAGTGGTTGTTGCCTTGGTTCTTGCTGAGGATACATATTGAGTACAAGTTGGAATATAAAATTATTTATAGAATGTGTCTACTACTCATTGAGAATTTGTTAGAAAAGCTTTGTTTTCCTCACATTCTAAAATGTTCAAATTCCTTCCTAGGAGGCAGTGGGCTTTGGAAGACTTTGAAATTGGTCGCCCTCTGGGTAAAGGAAAGTTTGGTAATGTTTATTTGGCAAGAGAAAAACAAAGCAAGTTTATTCTGGCTCTTAAAGTGTTATTTAAAGCTCAGCTGGAGAAAGCCGGAGTGGAGCATCAGCTCAGAAGAGAAGTAGAAATACAGTCCCACCTTCGGTGAGTTTTCAGGTTCATGTTCAAAGCAATATTCACCCATGCTGCACCCCTCCCCCTCCTGTAATGTCAGCCTCCCACTGCCCAGGTCCGTGCACTCCCTCTTATGAGGCACTGTCCTCAAACGCATGGCCCCCGTTCCTCACCTCCTGCTCCCTTATGAAAAAGATTAGATAGCTTCTGTGCTGCACTGGGTTATAATCATTCTCCTGTGATTCTCCCATGCTCTTCATGTTAAAATAAAATTGTATTCCTTTTCTTTTCTTTTCTTTTTTTAAAGTATAAATTTACTTTTTAGAGGGCCTGCTTTTCATAGTACCACAAAAAATGATTAAACTTGTCATCTTTCAAAGAGCACTTAAGTGCTCTGATCCTGAAAAATCACTTGAGGATTTAATGTTTTGTTAATGGAATAGTTTATATGGGCAAGTCTTTTTGGTGGATAATGAAGGGGAACGGCACCCCTTATTCTGAAGTATGCAGGGGTTCCGAGCAGCCACCTGCAGGTTGACTGGGGCTGGTGGGTTTTTGTTTTTCCTTTTTTTCTTTTTCCTTTCAGTGTTTTTCAGATTTGAATCAGATGCTAATACTTCAAGTCTGGCCACATCAGGCCTGGTGTGTCTCTACCTGGCGATACCTGGCTGGGGCTGGGAGGGGCAGGCATCTTACATGGGCTGTGATTCCCATTGCCTGCTTCCCACTGGCCACAGTCTGCACCTGCCCAGTCTGCTCAGCACCCATCTACTGCCATTGCTGATCACTGCTTTTATCTGTCACAGGGTCTGGGTATCAAGCTACTGCGGCAATGCCTTTTTTTTTTTTTTTTGAGATGAGTCTCGCTCTGTCACCCAGGCTGGAGTGTAGTGGCGTGATCTCAGCTCACTGCAACCTCTGCCTCCCAGGTTAAAGCGATTCTCCTGCCTCAGCCTCCTGAGTAGCTAGGATTACAGGCGTGCACCAACAAGCCC